TCTTGGTGGTGGTGGTGGACTTCGTGGTGGTGGTCTAGGTGGTCCCGGTGTTCTTGGTGGTGATTGCGGCGGTAGGCGGTGTTGGTGGTGCTCTTGGTGGTCCCGGTGGCCTTGGTGCTGGTCTTGGTGTCTCGGTGGTCTTGGTGGCCCCGTGGTCTTGGTGGTGATTGCGGCGGTCTAGGCATTTAAATATACGGGGTGAACAAGTATTTATACTACCTCCGGGGCCGATTGCTCTGGCCCGGCCAGACCTGTTAAAAATACGGTGAGAACAGGTATTTTATATTACCTCCAGAGCCGATTGCTCTGGCCAGGCCACCATATATTTAACAAGCGTTGCCGTACTAGTAGTAGTAGTAGTAGTAGTAGTAGTCGTCGTAGTCGTAGTCGTAGTCGTAGTGGTAGTGGTAGTGGCAGTGGTAGTGGTAGTGGTAGTGGTGGTGGTGGTGGTAGTAGTAGCAGTAGTAGTAGTAGTAGCAGGAGTAGTAGTAGCAGTAGGAGGAGTAGTAGTAGTAGTAGTGGTAGTGGTAGTGGTAGTTGCTGTTGGACACAGTTCGGGGCCCGAGCTTCGGGGCCCGAACCTGGGAAACTTCCGGGGCCCGAGCAGTAGTAGTAGAGTAGTGGTAGTAGTGGTAGTAGTTGTTGTTGTTGTAGCAATAGTACTAGTGGTAGTAGTGTGGTAGTAGTAGCAATAGTAGTGCACAGTTCGGGACCCAAGCTTCGGGGCCCGAAACTTGGAAGCTTCCGGGGCCCGAGTAGTAGTAGTAGTAGTAGTAGTAGTAGTAGTAGTAGGTAGTAGGTAGTAGTAGTAGTAGTAGTAGTAGTAGTAGTAGTACTAGTAGTAGTAGTAGTAGTAGTAGTAGTGGTAAGTAGTGTGGTAGTAGTAGCAATAGTAGTGCGCAGTTCGCGGCCCGAGCTTCGGGGCCCGAAACTTGGAAGCTTCCGGGGCCCGAGTAGTTAATATGCACATTATTTGCTGTAGGATGTTTCCTGTCTCAAGTCTCTTTGCAAACAGCTGCGCCGACAGATATGAAATTGCATCCGACCACAGTCACTCTGGAATATCTTCGAACTGATTGCTCCCACACTATGGTGAGCTTTGTGGTTCTCGATTTTGCTTGGGTCCTCCGACTGTGTGTTGTGGTTGTGTTTGTGGTTGCGTGTTTGTGGTTGTGGTTGCGGTTGTGTGTTTGTTGTTGTGTGTTTATGGTTGTGTCTGTCGTTATGTGTTTGCGATTGTCTCTTTGTAGTTGTGTTTGTAGTTGTGTGTTTGTGATTGTGTTTGTGATTGTGTGTTTCTGAATGTGTTTGTGGTTGTGTGTTTGTGGTTGTGTGTTTGTGGTTATGTGTTTGTGGTTGTGTTTGTGGTTGTGTTTGTCGTTATGTGTTTGCGATTGTCTCTTTACTCCAAGAGCCAGCAGCTAGCCATACTTTTGAATGCTGTAGACGTTTTTGCACCCAATCCAACAAAAATCTCGCAGTTGGTTCACAGTTGGGGAAAAGATTCTTGTCAGGCCGAGGACAGTAAAGAGCTTAGCGGAGCTAATGGCAGTGAGGCGATTCTGGGGACAGGTCTCTCAGCCATTAAGGTGAACGCAGCTGCTTATTGCTATTAGATTGGAGGCCATCGCTATTAGGTGCTCAAAGGTCTCTGTAGACACTCAAAGCCAACACCTAGGGCCTTCGACAGGAAATGGTCGCGTGTCAAGCGCACGGGACAACAAGGCACACAAAGGCACTCCAGAACAAATCAGTCTAGACCCTCAAAAATAAAGGGCAATTTTCTCTAACGCTAAACTTCATCCTTGTCAGCTGCTAGTAGGTTGGAGGCCATCGCTTCTAGGTTGGAGGCATCGCTTATCGCTTCCTTTCTTATTCCTTTCTGAGACTATGTTTCATTCCGCTTGCAAAGAGCTTGTCAGGCACCTATGAGCAAGGGCCCCGCGAAGGGACCAGGAAAAGGTCCTGCAAAGGGACCGCCCAAGGGCAAAGG